AAGAACTCACTACCTCATGGGTCAGTCCAGTTCATTTTTGGATAGCTCTAATTTTTATTCCCCTTTGTATCAAGTTGAAATTCCCCTCTCTTCAGCTTCTATGCATAGCTCCTGCTTCTTCTCTATAGATCCAAGCAAAACAAGGCAAATCCATCTTCACATTATTTGAAGGCAGCTATCAGATGTCCCCTAAGTCTTCTCTTCTCCAATCTAAACATTCCAAGTCCCTTTGACTCATCATCTCTGGCTGCCAATGTTCCTAAAATATGGCCTTTGGAACTGGGCCATTTGCACTGTTGGTTTACGTTTAATTCACAGTCCACCAAAAACCCCACACTTCTTTATACAGACTGTTGTCTAGTCATCCATCTTTCTTTTTTGCAAGTATGAAGCTGATTTTTTAATGCAAATGTAGGAGTTTACATTTGTCTTTATTAAATTTTTTTGTATTCAATTTGGCCTATCACTCTAGCCTTTTCTGTCAACCAATTTGTTATCTATCCCTCCCAGCTTCATGTTATTGGCAATTTGAGAAGTGTGCTTTCTAAGCCTTCATCTAAGCCATCAATTAAGATGTTTTTCAGTGTAGGCCCAAGGACAAATTAATAAGGCATTCCACTAGAGATCCTTCCAGGTTAGCACTGAACACTAATGACTCTGATTTGGGTCCAGTCATTCAACAGATTCCAAATTCAACCAGCTGTACCATCATCCAGCTTATATCCCTCCATCTTATCCACCAGTATGAGAGAGTTTGTCAGTTGCTTTCTTGAAATTCAGATATCAGAGAAATGGAAGGAACATTAGGAATCACATAATCTAAACCTCTTCTTTCACAGACAAGGAAATTAAGGTCCAGCAAAATAAAATGACTTGTTCATGGTAACACAACTATTTAGTGACAACTAGGAACAGAATCTATATTCTGATTCCTAGCCTTCTCCAATAGAATATAAGCTCCTTGAGAGTAGGGACTGTTTCTTGTGTGTGTGTGTGTGTGTGTATGTGTGTGTGTGTTTGTGTGTTTTTGCCTCCAGAATCTAAGTACCCAATACTTAAGAAATTATTAATAAATTATCACTTGATTTATGTCTCTCTATTACATTATGCTGTGTGGCCTCAAGCAACTGCTGCTCCATTCCTTCCTACCCCCAAGAAAAAGGGGTGTTCCCTGCCTGGAAAAGTGACATACACCTGACTTCTAGGCATGCTTTGGTCTCATCTTTCCCCCAGCCTCCTTACTCACCAGCAAGGTCTGCTTGCCAGATTTCCAAGTCTGTGGCTGAGCTTTGGGACTCTGACTTCTGATGATGGAAGGGTAACCTAGGAAAGAGATAAGACACATGGTTTAGACTGGGAGGAGACTGGTTACTTCTTCAAGCTCGGGCTACGTAGCAATCCAATTGCCTTCCTCAAGGAGACCCAGGCATGGTCTAGCCCATCACCAAAATGCAACCACCTCTGATGGGAGACTGAATGAGCCAGAGTTTAGGTGCTGGAAGTACCCTCAAGGAAAAGAGTGCAGAAACAGACATCAAGAAACAAAAACAGGGAAAGCCATATCGGGAGATAGAAAAGAATGAGACCAGGGACCCAGTGAAGTTTTGGTGCAGAATGTCACCAGACTAGGTAATAATGTCCTCAACTGGAACAAGGCCACCATATGATGAAGACTCAATGAAGCTGCAGTGGGGTCCCTGAAGAATGGGCTGACATCCAGAGAAAGGAAAAGGACCTCTTAATTCAAACCCTAACCCCGGGCAAAAATGACACGCTGAAATTGCCATAAACTCAAACATTGAAATGATCTATTATTGACTTCCTATAAACCTGTAGTTAGATCAAGGGAGGAATGAAGAGTATGGCTTTACCACCCTCAGTGCTATCCAGTGGGGCTAGATGTTAAAAAAAGCATTTTTTATTTCTCACCAATAACTTATCTTCTTCCAGAAGCTCACCCCCATCCCCCATTACCACAATCATGGGGCACCACTGATTCTTCCCATTTTACAAAGCAAGAAGCTAAGGCCCATGGGGTCAAGCAGCCCAGCAATGGCAGAACTAACCCAAGGCCCTAGAGGTCCTGATGCCCAGAACACATGAGTACCATCAGGGCTTGATCTAGGAAGGGTTAATTAAGAGCAGGAACTTCTGGACTGGGCAATAGAAAATTACTAATAGGACAACCCCTCATAGGACCGTAGGCTGTTAGAACTGAAATTCATCTAGCATAGCCCTTTGGGTTTATAGAAGAGAAAAATGAGGTCTCCCCAGATTCTTCTTCCTTCCTCCCCCACAAACAATTTGCATAACACTTATCCCATCTGAGCTCAAATCCAGCTTATAAAAATGAAAAGCACACACTTCATCAGCCACCCACCTCGGGTCGCACTATGCAGGTCAGCTGTTGATGCCATGGGAAGCAACGGTTGTTAAAATTGCCAGCGGTAACCAAGACACCATGGAGAGAAAGAGATAAATAGGGTGGCTACTGACAGCTGGAGCAGCTCGGTCCAGGAGGCCCCAAGACCTAATCTAAAGCTCTTGCTCTGGGACAGCCCCCATTTCTTTCCCAGTCCCAAATGTTGATGTACAGCCCTGGTCCCTGAGGACCTCATCAGAACCCCCTGGGGTGGAGGGAGGAAAGACACTGCATTGGCCATTCCATGGGGCAGTGATAAGCTGAGAGGGAAGGAAGGGAGAGGGAAAGTTGAGGACCAAAGTGTCATCCTGCTCCCAGGGAAAGAAAGCCTTACAAGATGGGAGATTTGAGAGGATGGGATTGTATCCTACGTTCCCAGAAAGAAAGTGGGAAGGGGGAAAGGGGGAGGGGAAAAAGAGACTATCTTGCTGGTTTTCAGAGGCTGAAATAATGGCTGCATGGGGATGGATGGTGGTGTGTACCAGCAGAGCCCCAGAGAGAAGGTCTGAACTTGGGATTTGGGAGAAGGGCCATGCATACCACTGACAGGGAACTGTTCTGAGAGGGCGGGCCAGGATGCTCCAGAAATGAAAGCAGAGGCCCTGCTGGAAATTCCATCTTCCCCACAAGGGAATAAAGGGTGGCAGGAATAGAAGGGTGGGGGAAGCAAATGGAAATTGATCGGGTACCAGTGTTAAACAGGCCACCATCCAACTGTTTGGAAATTTCTGTAGAGGCCTGTCCCAGGGTGGTGAACTGAAAGGGGACTTTCCCACTGCCTGCTGGGAGAGAGAGAGGCATTAGCAACCATGTGCTGCTTGTGGGGGATGAGCCTAGATGACCAGGAGGTATCATAAGATCACAGACTGAGAGATGGAAGGGACTTCATTGGCCATCTGGTCCAACTCCTCCATTTTACAGATTAGGAAAGGCCCAGATCAGTTTCAGTAATCTGTCCAACTCCCCATAGGTATTATATAGCAGAGCTGAGATTTGAACTAACTTTTCTGATTTCCAGTTTAAGAGTCTTTCCACTACATCCTAAAGACCAGTGGATTAAGTGCAGTGTGGGTGTTCCCACACAGGCCTCTAGCCTTTCCTTGGAGCCCCCTCCTTCACAACAGAAGTTTCCTGCTTCTGAGGCTTGCCAGCGTACCCTCAGTTTGTACCCTAAATATTAGAGGCATCTTGAAGGACCTAAGCAGGCCCAAGGAAGACTGAGACAGGGTGTGGGGTGCATGGGGAACCGAGGGGACACAAAGAGAGCTTGTTTTTGGTGATTCCCCTGAATTTTCTTTTTCAGCACTGTCCGCTTCTACTATGTGTCTTAGAGCTGCTACTATAGTTCCTATCCTGGGCCTGACCTTCCAGGTAGCATCCCCTGCTCCAAGGCTCTCCTGTCTATAAAAATGCACAGCATCCTATATAGTTGCTGGCACCAAAAAAGCACTCAAGAAAAATTGAATGAACGAATATGAACGATTCAAAGAATCAGTTACTAGTTCATTGACCTAATTCAGCTTTCCTATGGTATGTTCCCAGATCATCAGATAAAATTATCTCTCCCAAACTCTATCATATAGAGGATGACTCCCCTGGTTGGTATTGATCTTCTCCTTCAAATCTAACATAGGATATTAGCTTGTACCTGTATAATATTAATTACCCTCTGAGGTAGGTTTACTATTCAGTCAAGGAAAGAATGAACAATATAGAATGTCCAGAGAGAATGCCTTAATCCAAAGGAACATTTCTCATAATGGTGCACCAAGGGTCTAAGCAAAGATATTTGGAGGTAGGAAGGCCATCCTTAATGCCATGTAAGGACCCACGCACAGCGCAACTGGCCCTGGAGTAAAAAGGATCTGAGTTCAAATCTGAGCTGAGACACTTATTAGCTGTGTGACCCTAGGCAAGTCACTTAACCCTATTTGCCTCAGTTTCCTCATCTGTAAAATAAGCTGGAGAAGGAAATGGCAAACCACTCCATTATCTTTGCCACTCCAAAAGGGGTCACAAAGAGTCAAACACAACTAATCAACCAAACAGCAGCAAATAAAGGGTCTATTTCCTCTGCCCATGGAGAATCATAGAATTTAGGATGGAAAGGAACTTTACAGACCATCTAGCCTCACCTCTTCATCTTACAGATAACAAAACTGGGGTCTCAAGAGGTGAACCAAATTGCCTAAAGTAACACAATCAAAACCAGATCTCCTAACTCCAAATCCAATATTTTTCAATAGGCCGTGCAATAGTCTGTGTGCTGACTTCCAAATAACTCAGCATCTCTAGTGATGGTTGACAAACTCTACCTTACCTAAAAACCACTGGCCCACTGGAACTCCTGGGGGACCCTAAAGCTGACCACTCCCTGCCTCGTGGACCCTGCTAGATCCTTAGGCCCTGTCCAGAGGTCTAGCTCCAGACCATTTCCAAGATGCTGAAGCCGCCTCAAGGGGCAGGTTAGAGCATCTGATATCAAAGCACTAGCTGTGATAGTCTCCCAGCCCCTACCCGCTACCATGTGTGGATGAGGAGTTTTAAGGGAAGGTTTGCTTCCATCAGCACCTACTAGGGCAGTCCCAACATCATCTTGGGGACGTAAGACTCCTTCTCTGTCCTCCTGCCGGTTTCTGCTCCCTTTGGGCTTAGGGATTTGTTTCTAGGTGGTGATAGACCCTGAGTTTGACTGGAGAAGCATTCAAGGGCAGGGGTCCTAGATACCTCATGTCTTGTTATGGAGCTTAAGGGAATGAAGCAAAGAGAAAGAAAGAAACAAACAAACAGATAGTGAGATTCCTTTGCAGGGAAAGGAGTCAATGAATGGGGATCATAGGATCATATCTAAGGGATAAGGATAGGAATGTGACCCATGGATTTCCAGGTGAGGAAATTCCTTCTACTAATATAGGTCAGCATTTTCTCTATAACTTTAAGTTTTAAAGACTTGCCCAGACCACTTGGAAGTTGAGTGACTTGCCCAGGGTCACACAAACCATGTACGTCAGAGGTGAGACTTGAACCTACATCTTCCTGGCTTCAAGGCTAGCTCTATATCTACCACACCATGTTGTAACATATAGTCCAAACCTTTATTTTATAAATTAGTTAATTACATATTAGTTATAAATTTATAACTATTTTATAAATAATAATAATATAAATTTATATATTAGTTATTACTAATTTCTATAAATTAGTCAAATGAGGTCCAAGACAGGTCAAGCAATTTTCCCAAAGTCACGCAGCAATGACAGAGTTAGGGCTAGAATTCAGGTCTCCAGAGTCCAAGTGCTTTTTATGTTGCACAATAATAAATTAGCCAAAATGGGGAAAACAGATTTAAAAAAAAGACTTATTGGAGGTCAATAGGGGAAGGAGAACATAGCTGGAGAGAAGAACAGGGACAACAAGAGAGGTGGTCACTGGGGGTTGGAAGGAGGGAGGAACAATACCTTTCAGGGAGAAGGAGGAGCTGCCTTGGGCAACAGGCAAATCATCGGAGCTCTGAATAGAGGATGAATATTCCCATACTCTGGAAGTGTAGTTACCTGGTAGGGAAGAAGAGTGAGTTTTGAAATCTAGCCACCCCATCTGGATTTGTCCCTGGAACAGCTGGAATTAAAGAGCACTAGAGATTGGAATTGTTCTCAATTATCCATATTAGCCAAGTAGAAAAAATAGCAAGCAGACCCACAACATCAGATAATCCAAAGGCTATTTCTGTGTGTCACAGGACTGTGAATTCAAGGGGCAATTTGTGCTACCTCCTCAATTTCCTTTGGTTTGATCTAATAGTCAAACGAATTTGCATTCCCTGAACACATTCAGATTGGGCAGAAGGAGCAAGGCAGTGTGGAGTGGGCTGGATGACTTTGGGAAAAAAATCAATCAGGTACCAACATTTTGCCACAGATAGTCTACAACATGTGTAATGGAGAATTCATAGGACATATGTGTGGGGTAGCACCCCATTCTCCCTCTATTGCAACCAAAGGAGGTTCCAGTATGACTGAGACCTTCCTCTCAGCCTCCTGCCCAGCTTATCTGCTCTAGCTGCCTGTAGAGGAGAGATAGCTGGATTTCCAAGCACAGTAGAAATTATTTTCAACCTTTTCTCTCTAAAACAAAATCTCCTAGAAACATGAGGGATCTCTGTAACAACCTGCTACCAAGAGCACCAGTGAACTTATACGCTCTCATAATTACAAGGAGCTCTGCTCCTGGAACCACCTAGAGAGGCCAAAGGATTTTCCCAACATTGCCCAACTAGGAGTGGGTCATTGAGTTAGAGCCTGAACAGACATAAAGATTATTTAGTCCAACTTTTTCCATATTACAACTGAAGAAACTGAAGCCCGAAGAGTTTAGGGGACTTACTCAAGGTCACACAGGTACTAAGCTGCAGAGCTGAGACTTGAACCTGGACTCTCAAATCTAGGGTTCTTTCCACTCCCTCATGCTTCCTCCCAGGGCCTCAAACTCCAATCTAGTGTTTCTTCTCCTGGGCTCTGCCACCCTTCTCTTAGAGACACTTAGTACTCAAGCTTAACCAAGAAGGAACATCCCATCTCCCTCCTCATGCCTCTATATTTCCATATTTTTCCTAGTACAAGCCACTTATTTTTGTCCTTCCATATTAAAGATGCTGCCTGTGGGAACACAGAGCTAGAAAGTTCACAGATTAGGGCTGGTGCTTCAGGTCTTTTCCTCTAAGGATATTCTACAACAATGAAACAGCTCATGACTAGCTCCCATAAAATCATAGATTCCTAGAGCTATGGATTCATCTGGGCTATCCTTTTGCCTTTGGGCAGGATGATGGCTTAAAATAATAATTCTCATTTCTAGGGTTCCTTTAAGCCCATGAGGTGTGTTTTCACAGCAACCCTCTGAGGTAAGGGCTACAGGTATCTTTCTTCCCACTTTGCAGATGGGGAAGCTGATGCTCTGAAAGGGTAAACAGTTTTTCCCAGGACCATACAGTAGGTAAGCGGCAGGATTCCAAGCAAGTGGATTCTGTCACGTGCCAGATCCTCCAATTCAAAGACTAGTGTATTTACCACAAAACCAGGAATATGGATTTCCCAACCCAAATATTAATGCTTAATGTCAGGAATCTCTTGATTCTAGAAGTAGTAGGATATAGTAGTAGTATCCCTTAGGACTTGGAGTTAGAAGATGTGAGATATTTGCTCATGGACAAATGTCTTAACCTCTCAAAGCCTCAGTTTCTCCAGCTGTAAAATGGGGATTCTACCTACTACATAGGATTTTTGAGAGGAATGCATTTTATAAACCATAAAACATTATAGAAATGTGAATTAATATTAGACTCAGCCCTCTGGTGGCAGTTCATCTCCCATCTCCTCTTATTCCATCCCAGAGGAGAATAAAAAGCAGATGGATTTCAGGAACTCTTGACTCAGGCTTTACTAAGTGCCACATGACTCTCCTTATCTCTAAATGACTACTTTTGGCCTTTTCTCCAGATTTTCACCGTCTGCTTGCAGCTCCACTGCACACACACACACACACACACACACACACACACACACACACACACACATCCCGAAAGCTCTCTAAACCCATCTTGTATAGGAGGTCACCCTCTCCACCTTGACCCCCCACCATCTCCATCCCACCAATGTCATCCTCTCCTGATTTAGCTTTCCCTCCTGCTTTCAAGTGACCTCAGCATTACCTCAGCCAGCTCATGAGCTGTTCCAATGGCATTTACCTTTGGTTCCATAGAGATTATTAAAGTTCTTTTGGTTGATCTCTTTGGTGAGGCGGCCTGGAGAAGAAGGTTGATAAGATGTCCTGGCCCCGGCTGAGGAGAGAAATGAAGAGTACTTTTGGGGGGTGATCTGAAGAGGAAGAGGAAGAGAAGCAGCAGTCCCTGACCCAAAACCCCCTCTCTGATAACCCATGCTGGTGTCTAAAATGCTCTTATTAGAAATTTACTAGAGGGAAGGGAGCAGACCCTAAAACCATTTGGGATTTTCCAGTGTCTCCTATTAGAATGAAATGCCTTCAGCATAAGTGCCAGCTTAAGCTTAACCAGCTCACACTTTAGGGTTATGAGTGCACATCAAGCTCTCTAAGAGAAAGACCTTCTATTGATGGAACAAGGAATAGTACCAGCCTCACTGGGGAATGAAGAGTGAGGTGCTGTGGAGAACAGAAAGGAGAAACTAGAAGAGGTTGCCTTATTTTATAAGTTTGTCCCAGGCAATGGAAATGGGGCACAGTGGAGGCCACCATGAAGGAGAGGAGAAATCCTGTCATAGGGGGATCAAGGAAGGAACTGGGTGTATGGAGAAATGTACTCTGAAGAAGAAAAGACTAGAGGGAGAGGTGGCGGCCATGGCTTGAATGCTCTGTTCAAGTATCTGGCTCATTTTGTTTGACCCTAGAGGTCAGAGCTAGAAGTGACAAGTGGGAGTGTTGGGGAGACAGATTTTCTCTGCCTGTAAGGACAAATTTCCTAATTATTGAAGCTACCCCACACTGAAGTGAACTACCTCAGGAGGGAGAGGGCTCCCCATTGCTGGAGGTCTTAGCAGAAGCTGGATGACCATTTGTCTGGGATGGCATAGAAAGGATTCCTTTTCAAATATAGGTTGGGCTAGACAGTTCTGTGATTCTGTGAATTAGGTTCCCTGTCCATCAAGAAGGTCAAAGCTGAGAATATCTGAGCCATGACTGTCCTAGAAGAATCCTCTTTAAGTGCCAGAGGCTAAATGGATGGATACATCTTATTTTCATATCTAGAGCAATTTCCCAAACTGGGTTCTTTAGACCATGAGAATAATGGTCATATAAGGGCACTTAATATCTTCCCCTACACCAAAAGCATTGACAGTGAAATTATGTACATATCAAAAATACCTATATGTAATATAAAATAATAGCTAACATTTATATTCCTCTTTAAGGTTTTCAAAGTGCTCTAAAGATTTTATCTCATTTAATTCTTACAAAAGCTCTATGAAGTAGATGCTGTTATTATCCCTATTTTATAGATGAGAAAACTGAGGCTGAGAAAAGTGAATTGACTTGCCTGGCATCACAAGCAAATAAGTGTCTGAGGGAAGATTTGAACTCAGGGAAGTCTTCATCAGTAATAATAATAACAGTGCCTACTATGTGCCAGGCACTGTGCTGAGAACTATACAAATATTATCTCATTTGACCCTCACAACAACCCCTGGGAGGTAGATGCCATTATTATCCCCATTTTGCAGATGAGGAAACTGAGGCAAACAGAGGTTAAGTGACTTGTCCAGGGTCTAAGTGTCTGAGGCTGAATTTTAACTCAGACCTTCCTGACTCCAAGCCCCTATTCACCTAGGCACCTCATAGATCATCTCTCTCATATCTCTGTATCCCTCATTTCTGGTTGCTTAATAGTGTGGAATCGCTGCTCCAGCCAAGCAAATCACTTGTGGGACTTCTTTAAGATGCCTCAATGGTCATTTCTCTCAGATTGAATGGCAAATGAGTCACAGGGCCATCAAATAGAATTATTGAATTCAGAGGTGGAAGGGCCTTAGAGATCACCTCATCTGTCCCCCTCATTTTACAAATGAGGAAACTATAGCCCAGAAAGATCAAATCCCTTGCTTAAGGTCATCCTGCTAATTAGCAGCAGAAACAGCAGGGCAGTATAACAGAAAGAACATTGAATTTGGAGTCTAAGGACCAGAGTTCAAATCCCAACAATGTGGGCAACTGTGGATAAGTCAGTTCCCTTCTCTGGGTCTCAGTTTCCCTATTTGTAAAATGAGGACTAAGATCCTTCTGTTTCTGAATCCTTTGATTTCAATGTTCCCATGTCACCTAAGTCTAGCATTTTTCCTGCTATAAAATAATACCTTCTCATAGTTTCTCCCTTTCCCAGGCTAGGGAAACACTAGAGATGACATAACCAGAAACCCCCACTTCCTAGCCCAGTAGGGAAGCCCACAGGGGCCAGTGTCAGAGGACTTGGTGATGAGTCCCAAAAGAGATTGGTGGAGCCCAGAACAGGTCCATCCAGGCAGGACACCCAAATACCAGGAACACAGCATGTGGAGGCATGGGTCAGGTTACTATATGTCATCTCCTCCCCTTGCAGGGCACAGTAAGCTAGCGCAACCATCTGCTGGAAGGTGAGCTCAGGCTTGGCACACAATAGGAATGTGAAGGTGAGGTCCCATCCCTCACTGCTGCCACCCCCAGACAGTCCTCACACAGCCCAGATGCTGTTTTTCAAGCTGGGTAGGGCCCCCACTACAGGAGAGGCAGCTGGATCCAAATGTCCATGGGCATTGAATAGGAAAACACCCATTCACTGGGCTTCTCTTTTGTGAATGGACCTTAGCTCCCTCCCCTGCATTGTCTGGGTGAAGGAGGGTAGTGTCCCCTCGATGGTTTGACAGGACATTTGGGGCATAAGGGAGAACAGCACAGGGTTATGGGTGATGGGCCAGGTGTGGGGAGGTGGGAGCACAAGCAGACAGGAAATGATCGCCTGAGCCAGAGGAACTCTCATCGACTAGAGGAAGGCAGAGGACATGTGAAAGGGAAGGAGAATCCACCGGGAGCCAGCCCAGTGAAAACCTGGCCTTGTTATCTGCATGCAAAGAGAGCCCCATGCTGGGTTTTAAAGCTGAGGGAAATTTGGCTCCTGTCTTCTAGGGGAGGAAGCAATGATGGAAGAGAAAGGATCATGTCCAATTCACTCATTTTACAGATTGGGTAGTTGAGGTCCAGAGACTGCATAGGAAGTAAGAGGCAGAACCAGGATTCAAATCCAAGTCTCCTAACTCCGACTACAGCACTTTTTTCAGACCTGATGTTAGCTGACTTAGGCTTTAGTTCCAGTTTTGCCACTATCTTCCCATGTGACCCTATATTGATCACATTGTCTCTCTAGGCCCCAGTTTCCTCATCTGTAAAATGGGGAGATTTGAACTGAATAGCCTTCAAAGTGCTTTCCTAGCACTGAGATCTGTTGATTTGGCCCTGTGGACTATCCAAGAGGGGACAGCTAGGTGGCACAATGGATAGAATGCCAGGCCTAAAGTCAGGAAGACTCATCTTCATGAGTTTAAATCTGGTCTGAGACACTTATTAGCTGTGTGACCCTAGACAAGTCGCTTAACCCTGTTTGCCTCAATTTCCTCATCTGTAAAATGAGCTGAAGAAGGAAATGGCAAACCACAAAGCACTCCAGTATCTTTGCCAAGAAAACCCCAAATGGGATCACAAAGAGTCAGACACAACTGAACAACAACAACAATAATTATCAAAGAGGGAGGAGGAAGGTTTTCCTAGCTAAGAGAGGGAATGGCTTTACAAAAGCAAGTTCTATTCTGATTTTCGAGGTGATAGAGAACAAGGTCTGTGTTTATTTGTATACTTTCCAGTGGTTGGGAAGAAGGAGAGGTTGAGAAGCCAGCAATACGGCAGGAGTGTTGATAGGACACAGAAACTGGAGGCTCTCCAATTGGGCTCAAAGTATAACCATGGCATTTTGAATGGACAAATCAGCTTGATCCAGACAGCCCAAGACAAAGAATCCTCACTCAAAGTATTCTGGTTGGGAAAGCCCTGGTCTCTTTTTTGGCCAATAAGGTGTGGAAATTGGCATTAGACTAGAGGCTTAGAGAGTCATGGGGCAAGAAGGTGTGAGGAATTGGGCATTAGATAAATAGCCTTAGAAAGTTTAAGCACCAGCCATGGTTGCTTTCTTAAATGCACACTACTAATTACCTTACCTTTCTGGGGTTTTATGTTTTCTTTTCTCTTGTGAAAAAATCCCTATGAAACACATTATAGCAACCTGGAATATGTTGATATAAAACTAAAGAGGATGCCAGAATTGTGTGGCCAGTTATGGCAGCAAGGGACAGAACTAGAGGGAAAGTTAATTAAAGAAAACCTGGCCAACAGAACCCAGGGAACCCAGCAGGCTCAGTGACCAAGGTCAAGGGCTCATTGCCTAATTCAAAAATCGTCAGGATAGTTTAGAAAACAGTGAAAGGAGAGCTCTGGAATTAAAGGCAAGGTCCTGGGAGCTAATTCCAAGGAAGAGCTAGGAACAGTTGGAAGTTAGCCTATTTTACCAAGACCCAAGCCCAGGCCCAGGCTCAGGACCAGATCCTTTCAGTCTGGAAACCTGTTTAGAGCATAGAGTCAGGTGAAGCTATCCTAGGAATGGTGACTGGTAGAATAAGAGATTGAATGGGGAACATCTGGAGGGAGGAAGAACCTTGAACGCCAAGGCCAGGAAATATGAACTTGCCACATAGGGTTCACAGTCCCACAGAGTAAATGAATACAGCTGTTGCTTACCCTTGGGTGTGAGGTACATGGAATATCTCTTCATGGTGTCTGACTGACCCCAGTCAGACGTGTAGTTGTTCATGTAGCGATGGTCCCCTGGGGAAAAAAGACAGGGCTGGATCAGCAGAGGGCTGAGGTAGGGTCACTGAGAGGGATGGAGGGGGGCCCTGGTCTTGGGAGGTATTAGCCTCAGAAAGCCAAGATCCTCATCTCAGAATTTCACATAAATGGCACTAAAGTTTTCCTCCTGTAGTTTGGAGGTAACATTAGGCTCAGCTAGCATGGCCCAAACTTTATCAGGTCCTACCCAACTGGAAAGGTGCTGATGCCTGATGCCAAAGAATTGGCCTGGTTAAGCTCAGAAAGCATCTTCACCAGGATCAGTACTATTTTTTGGTCACAGGATAATTGAAGGAGCAGAAGGGGCACAATCTGAGTTAGTGGAGGGGGGCCCCACACAATGAATTCCTAGATCCTTGAAGTACAGACATTACAATCTCATCACCCAGTGATAATATGGGCACATGGGGCTGTGTCTCCAGGAGTTCGAGTGAAGTCCCATGGAAAAAAACCAACTCACATTTCTAGAGTGCACTCACATTTACAAAGCACTTTCCTTACAACAATCCTAGGAGGTAGGCAGTGCAAGTATTATCATTTTATTATCATATTATTATCATATCAATATTATCATATTCCTTTTTATGGCTGAGGAAACTGAGGCTCAGAGAGAAGGAACTTGCCCAAAGTCCCATAGCTAGTAAGTGTTGAAACTAGGACTTGAATATGGGCCTTCCAGGGTCTTCTTCCTCTCCATCATACTTTCTTGGCTTGTCTCATTCCTATCAAGAGCTTACAAAATATTCCAGGGATATCTTGGTACAAAATTAACTAGTTCATTCTTAGAATTATAGCTTTAGACTTGGAAAGGACCTTGAAAGTCATCTCACCTAACCTCTTCATTTTACAGATGAGGTTTTACAGAGACATTAATAATAGCACCTACCTCTGAGGGTTATGGTGAGGAGAAAATAAAATATGTGTAAAGTGCAGTGAGTGCCTGGCACATAGTAGGGACTTAATAAATGATTGTTTCCTTCCTTCCTTCCTTCCTTCCTTCTTCCTTTCTTCCTTCCTTCTTTCCTATTATGTTGCACTGTCCTTTCTTTCATTAATAAAAATTGTTCTTCAATTGTTTCTGACTAGGGATTTCTTGGCAAAGATATTGGAGTGGTTTGCCATTTCCTTCTCTTGCTTATTGTACAGATGAGGAAACTGAGGCAAACAGGATTAAGTGACTTGCCCAGGGTCACACAGCTAGTAAGGATCTGAGGCCAGATTTGAACTCATGAAGATGAGTCTTCCTGACTCCAGGCCCTGCACTCTATCCTCTGTGCCTCCTAGCTGCCCTATTAAAACCATTTATACCATATGTTAAAGTTTGCAAAGCTCTCTACAAATATTCTTTCATTTGGTCTACACAACTCTGTGTGATAGGTGCTATTATTACCTCCATTTTACATATGAGGAAATTGAGGTAAAGATCAAGTGACTTGCCGAGGGTCACACGACTAAGGTGGACTAAAGGAGGATTTGCACTCAAATCTGCCGGTCTCCAAATCTAATGACTATCCGCTACACTCTTAGTTGCCTCTCTTATAAATGGGAGGTATGGGTCCTATATAACTAAGTCCCCAAGTCTTACCCTTAGAGTGTCAGGTCTAGGAGAGGCAGCTGGATCCAAATGCCCATGGGCATTGAATAGGAAAACACCCATTCACTGGGCTTCTCTTTTGTAAATGGACCTTAGCTCCCTCCCCTGCATTGTCTGGGTGAAGGAGGGTAGCGTCCCCTCGATGGTATGACAGGACATTTGGGGCATAAGGGAGAACAGCACAGGGTTATGGGTGATGGGCCATCTCTGTGAGTTCAAATCTGTCCTCAGACACTTAGTAGCTGTGTGAACCTGAGAGAGTCATTTAACCCTGTTTGCCTTAGTTTCCTTGTCTGTAAAATGAACTGGAGGAAGAACTGGCAGGCCACTCCAGTTTCTTTGTTAAGAAATCTCCAAAAATGGGGTCACAAAGAGTTGGACATGATTGAAAAATGACTGAACAACTGCATGTCTTACCCTAAAATAGAGGTTTATAATCTGGGGTCCTGAGATCCCCCCCAAAAAGGTCCATGGATAGATTTCAAGGTGTCTATGAACTTGGATAGGGAAAAAATGCATCTTCATGTCAATATTACTGATTTCCTTTGTACTCCTATGTATCTTATTCCATGCATTTAAAAACATTATTCTGAGAATGGCTTCTCCAGATGGTTTAAAAGGTCCATGACACATTCCAAAAAGTTAAAAAAACCTAGTCTTGACCTTAAAGATTTAAACTATTATCAGGTGTCCTAGGAACTGGAAGAGAACTGAACTACTTGATTTACAGAGTCAGACACTGACAGGTCTCCTAATTCATGCCAATTAGACTGCTGGGCACTTGGCTTCTCATCCATTTCTCCACCCCATTCCTTTCTTCTGCCTTTTCCTTCATCTTAAATGTCTCCTCCTTCCTTTCCTCTTCCTCCCAGAGGGTAGGGGTAATTTAAGCTTATCAGGAGAGAGTCATGGGCCAAGCTAGATGTAAGGAACTGTTATCAGACAGAATTACCTCAGAAAGTTTAGGTCATATCTATACAAAAATATTTATAGCAACTCTTTCTGTAGTGGCTAAGAATTGGAAATTGTAGGGATGCCCATCAATTGGAGAATGGATGAACAAGTTGTGGTATACGATTGTGCAGTTTGATTTCAGAAAAACCTGGAAAGACTTCCATGAACTGATGCAGACTGAAGTGAGCCGAACCAGGAGAACATTGTACAGAGTAACAGCAATACTGTATGATGATCATCTGTGAATGACTTAGCTATTCTTAGCAATACAATGATACAAGACAATCCCAAAGGACTAATAATGAAAAATGCTATCTGCCTCCAGAGAAAGAACTGATGGCATCTGAATACACACTGAAACATACTATTTTCCTCTTTCTTTTTTTTTTGGTTTTGTTAGAGTTTTCTTCCACAAAATGATTAATATGGAAATGTTTTACAAGACTGCACATGTATAGCCTATATCAAATTGCTTACCATCTCAGGGAGGGGAAAGGGGAAGGAGCAAGGGATATAATTTGGAACTCAAACCAAAACCAAAAAAAAAAAAAAAGATTGTTAAAATTGTTTTTACATGTTATTGGGGAAAAATAAAATATTAAAAATGAAAAAAAGAGAAAATTTAGGTCAAATTGCCCCGAGTCTAGGATTTTGTCCATTTCATTCCTGCTGCCATCTCTCAGGGGACACCTGTTCCTGATCCCCCCTTGACCCACGCACCAGGCCACAGGGAGACTGTGACTCCTATGTTAATCAGGGAGCTGCCAGTGAGGTCCAATTCTCTAATCCCTCTTCCTCCTCCCATGGAGCAGCAAAGACTCTTGGCAATCAGGAGAGAGATGGAGACAACTTGTTCCTATAGCTAACTTACTTAGAGCCTCCTGGCCAAGGCCTCCCACCATGGAGTGCTAAGGTCTCTGCCAGATTTAAGTCTATGATCCTGCGATCCTATAAACTCCCCAACCTACATCTGGACAGAGAACTACCGATGAGAAGGAGCGAACCTCAGTGAAGGAGCCACCCCAGCCTAAGGCTGAGGCACTGACATCAGCAACATTCCCCTTCTCCCACTAGGCTTCTTGCCTTTGGAAGGCTTGAAGGAACCACACCTGTTCTAGATAGAGTCATCAATCTTGACCTACAAAATGGGCCAGCGTGGGATTGGGTCCCTAGCTTTGCCCTTGAGTCTTCCAGGCCCCGCCTGCCTCCGCCAAGGACCAGGCTAGACCCAGATCTCACAGGGCAAACCCAGATCTGAGCTGACGTTTGCAAAACCACAATGGGAACATAGTGCCCCACTGCCACCTCCATGATCTGTGCCTGAGAAATGAGTCACACGGTAATGGGTTCCTCAGCATTTTAGGAGGACTCATTTCACTGACGAGTTATCTCAGTCCTCAACCCTGAGCCTCTTACATATCATTAACCCCCTCACCTTATCTTACCATCATACCTACCCCACACAGAATCAGGTCCTCCACCTTGTTGGCAGACAACAGAGGTCAACCATTTCCTTCCTGGGCATGCACAACCAGAGGAAAAAATACCAGGCTCAACTCAACGACCAGAACCATAACTAGGATGGGGAAATTGGGCCTTTGCCACAGGGCAGTGATATGAGAGAATATGCAAGTCCTGTTAAGTCCCATGTCCCTGCCCCTATGATCCTATGCTGGCCTGTATCACACTGCCTGACTGTGTAGCTATCCCTGTTCCCCTTTCTAGGGGCCTTGTTGCTGACATATGTCTTTTGCCAGGAGGCTGACTTCCTACCATATCACCTTATACTCGCTCCTCCCCAGCTTCCACCTCTTTCTGACGGCTGGGAGGGTCAACAATTGGATGTCTCTGACTACAAAAAATAGCAGGTTCTCTGCGGGAAGGACCACTTTCCTAGCAAAACTGTGTCGAACCAGGTCTGTGTTGCACTGCCCTCACGTTTGAAGATTTATGCTATGGTTTTCGTGGGGGACACCTAAGATTATCAATGATATAAGTGCATACAAGCCAAGATGATATCCCAAGGTTTTCCTGCACTCCAGGTGAGCTCCTTTTTGCCTCACTTGCCTTTGTCCCAGGCACCAAAATTCCTGCTTATGGTTCTGTCAAGAGTATCCATCAGATTAAACCCCTGTCAGAGGCTTGACATTAAGGTTTAGAGTGGGGAAGTTGGGCATGGAGACCAGAGGAAAACACAAGGGCTTTAAGCCTGAGGAGACTAGCTTATTAGAGATTAAAAAACAAAAAAATAAAACAAAACAGTTCCTCCGCTGGAGCCATTTTTCAAGTTATAGAACCAGGGCTTGCTGAGACTTGGTCCAGGTGATCTCATCTGGGAATGGGAATGACTCAGATCCAATTCTACAGAAACTTTTCCATTGTCAAGGTGGGCTTGGCCTGCCCTCCTCAGCTCTTTCCCCTATAGCCAAGGACAACAATTGTGCAAAACTCATTTCAACTTGTATTGTCCAATAAGTCATCATGTTGGGGTAGCACAGTGTACTGGGAAGAGCATTACACACGGAGCCAGGAGAGACCCAGATCTGAATCCTGCCTCTGACTTTTATTAGCTATATGACTATAAGCAAGTTACTTAACTTCTCCAGGCCTCCTTTTCTTCACCTGCTAATTGAAGACAGTAATATCTTCTTCATAAGGTTGTGAGGATCAAATAAGATCATGTAGTATTATGGCTAACAAAGTTGCATCCACACAGATCACCAAAGGCAACTTGGCTGGCTCCATGGGAGTGATAGCATGTCTGTAGCCACTGGATGCTGCCTGATAAACAGATGTGGAGGATCTGAAACCCACCATCTACATTCCATTGGCTTAAACCTGCACCGTCTGGATGACCTGGCTGGAAGTATGCTCAATGATCATATTTGCTAACCCTGTGGCCGAGATGTTGTTCGATCGTTCGCTCTTCATGACCCCATGGACTGTAGCACGCTAGGCCCTTCTATCCTCCACTATCTCTCAAAATCTGTCCAAGTTCATGTTCATTGTTTCCATGATACTTTCTATCCACCTGTGGCCTAGATACTTCTCGCTGTGGAGGTATAGTCTCTTATGGTATCTTTATCTTTTTAAAGTTAACACACATATACGCATATCAATATGCTGATGTACATATTCATATATGTATGAGTATATGTTCCCAAAGTCTTAAGTTTTGCAGTTTTAAGCTATGGATTGCATGATTTCATTAGTATAGGGAGCTACCCAGGTGAGAAAATTCTCTCTACTAATTCAGACAGGCAATGTTTTTCCAACTTACAGTCTTCAAGAGCTGCCTACAGCACTGAAATAATAAATGACTCACCCAGGGTCACACAGACAGTATATGGCAGAGGTAGGACCTGAACCCTGGTTGTCCTGGCTCCAAGGCCAGCTCTTTAAATACTATACCATAGCTGTCTCTCTTTATATATGTCTATAAATCTATTATCTAACAATCTATCAATCTATCTATATCTATCTTTCTAACTCTACCTAATATCTATCTATCCATTCATCCATTTATTTATTCATCTATCAATCAATCTTTCTACCTGCCTATACATCTATCTCTCTATCTATTTACCTACCTACCTACCTATCCATATCTGTCTTTATATTTCTAACTCTACCTAATATGTATCTGTCTGTCTATCTGTCTATGTGTGTCTATCCATCTGTCTATTGAATGTACATAGTATTGCATTCCATTCCATTCCATTCTGTTCTGTTCTATACATTGAACCTATCTAGCTGAAGTCCAAATCAGCCAGAGTATGTGGTGACATAGCGTTGAACGTAAAAGGAGGAGGTTGAGTGGTTTTCTATTTATTTATTTCTAAAACAGAGAGGAGGACCAATCTCTATTGGGAGAACAAAAGGATTTTAGAGCCATCTTACCAGTATGTGACCTACCATTCTCCATATGATTTCTCTCAATGAAATTTCGACTCAGATCTGCTTTGCACATCTTCTCCACGTGTCTCATGCATACATTGAGTAGATCATCCTTAAAGTTACCCAATGACTGACCCAGGCCTTCTCCTTCCAACAAGACATGATATGTAGGCAGAGGTGGGGGAAGTGAGTAATTGCTCATTAGTGCCCCAAATTCCTGCCAATAAGAAGGAACAGAAGCCAATAAGTTGTCTGTGCCCTTGGGGGTCAGAGATTACTTTGATCTTTACATCGTCTCAGAGGGTAAGGTAATAGAATCAGAGATTTTAGAGCTAGAAGTGTCCTTAGACATCATTAAGCCTAACCACCACTTCACAGATGAGGAAATTGAGGACCAGAAAGGTAAAGAGACTTACCCAAGGACACAAAGGCTATAGAATCATAGACCTAGAGTTGAGACCTTAAAAGTCATTTAGTTCAACCACCTCATTTGACAGATGAAAAAACTGAGACCAGTAGGAAACAAGTGCTGCCATGTGTCAGAAACTGTATGAAGCTCCTTATAAATATTATTCTAGTTGATCCTTATAACAATCCCAAAAGGTTGGTGCTATTATTACTCTCATTTTACAGTTGAGGAAATGGAGGCATATAGTGGTTAATTGACCTGTCCAGGGTCACATACAGCTAGTCAATGTCTGAGGCCACATTTGAACTCTGCTCTTGCACCATTTTTGGCAGCTAGATGGCACAGTAGATAGAGTGCCAGGCCTGGAGTCAGGAAGACTCATCTTCATGAGTTGAAATCTGGCCTCAGACACTTAATAGCTGTGTGACCCTGGCCAAGTCACTCAACCCTGTTTGCCTCAGTTTTCTCATCTGTAAAATGAACTGTAGGAGGAAATGGCAAACAACACCAGTATCTTTGCCAAGAAAACCCTATATGGGGTCATAAAGAGTCAGATATGACTCAACAACAACAACAACAACTTGTGCCATTTAGCTGCCCAGTGAAGTTAAATGACTTGCCCTAAAGATTAAGATATAGAACTGGGGGTCAAACCCGGCATCCTGACTCCAAATCCATCACTCTTTCCACTACACCACACAGATCTCCTCATGGTCTAATGAAAAGAACTGCAGGGCAGGGAGTCCTGCCCCAGAATCTGGGCTCTCCATTTGTTCTGCCACTAAGGGGCTTGTTGACCATGAGAAGTCAGTGGACTTCTGTTCATAGTTTTCCCATTTATAAAAAGGGAGACATCTTCTCAGCCTCTAGTCATTTGGGGTCATCTCCCCTCTCTAAGCCCTTAGAGTATATTTTTTTCTAAAACACCTAGTTCGTCATTTAATTACATAGTTTCTTACATGGTTCTCTAATTATTTCCCATGTGTAAGGCTTATCGCCTTAAATAGATTGTAAACTCCTTTCAGCATCTTCTGTATCCCCAACAGGGCAAAGCTCAATGCAAAATACATAGGAGGAACCAACAACTACACATAGGTAGAGAGATGGATGGATGGATGGATGGATGAATGGATGGATGGACAAATTACCTGAAGAAACAGCACTGAGTCGCTGATACTGTGCAACTGCTCTCTGGTCTGCTTATCCTCTTGTAGCACTTTGGCCCTCTCATCCAGCGCATCCACAATCACCTGCACCTGGTCCACAGCATCTTGTTCCCGCTGCTCCAGCGCTGCCCTAACTTCATCCCTCTGTTTTTCAAGGTCCCGAACAAGGTCACGGAAGTTCTGTTCCAGGATGGCTTTTTCATTGGTGGTGAAGCTCTGGAGCAGGGGAAAAGAGAGAGAAGAAGAAAAAAGAAAGCTTCCGTTAAAACAAATCACCAGGGCATCCCATCACTAAGTCCCTGGAAATTGGGATCAGGGTGTTTTCATCGCCCTCGAGTGGTGCAACTGATCTTACCAAGACACACATGATGGGCAGAGATTGCCAGTCCCATTTTACAGTCAATTTTTGTTTGTCCACAGGCAGATCACCCTATCTGATAAAATGTCCTCATCCAACACCTTAGGCTGGTTCACCAATTACCTTTCAGAATTCCACCATTAGTCTGTGTTAGCTTAAGGAAAGGAGGCTCCTTATAAGAACCAGTTTATTCTCTTCTCCTTTCCCACCCCCAATGTGCACACACACACACACACACACACACACACACACACACACAAACAAACAAACAGTAGCCTGGTAACTAGAGCAACAGGTTTTTGGTGGCTGGGCAGCATTCATTGGGGAAGACTATCCCCAGACACTGGGGAAGGTCCGTCATATTTATGGGTTGATTAGTTGTGGAATTTTGCTTATAAGGCTTAGTCAAGTTTCGGGTGGTAGCCAAGAGCCTACCTCAATGCTAGAAATAACCATAGATGGAGCAGCCGGAATACACAGGGGGAGGGACCCGGTAAACATGGAGGAGGAACTAGGCGAGAAAACAAAGAAGGGCTGAGATTTCCAAGTGGAGCGACTAGCCACAGGAAGCCTGGGGAAATCCCCAGACTTGGGGCGGAGTAAAGGAATGTAGGAGGGGAGACGCTAGGAAGCCAAGTCACCTTAATCCTGTCTCGCTCTTTCTGCCACTTCTCAGCTTCGTCTTCAATCTCAATGATCTTCAGCTGTAATTGCTCCTTTTGCAAAGATAGCTCCGTCTATAGGGTAGGAAAAAGGGAAGGGACAGAAAAAAAAGAGCAAAAGTGGAATTAATAAGATTTCTGATTATTTGAAGGATTAATTGGTCCTCTGAAAGTATGCTACATTTGAATTGAACGTGGAAGAAAGGGGGCAGGTAGTCCCAGTCTCAGGCCTAGGTGCATAGAAGAGCAGACCATCTTCTTCACTTAATCTCAGAGGGGAAGGGGAGCTTATTTGTATAGTTTAAAGGGAATAACCCTCCTTTTTTATCATGCAGTTTAATGTCATGTCCTCCACTGAAGTTTTCTTTTGGATGCTTCATTATTGCATGGCAGAGATGGGATCCTGGAGTCTGTTGGCTACATCAATGTAGCACGAGGTTCATCCAGTCCTAGTCATCCAAAAGGGCTTCTCATGGTGTCAGTGGACTGGAACCAACCTGGTCAGGTTTAGAGATCTCATTACTGAAGACTAGCCATCAAATCAGAGGTTTATGGATGCAGAGACATATGAGACTTTGGAGGTCATCTAAACCAGAAGTATCAAACTGGCTGCCTTCCACACTCCACAGTACAGCTGAACCAGATTAAAATGTAATTGCGAAATATTTAACAGAATAAATAAAAATACAACAGAACATAGATAATGTTAATATGTGGTTTTCTAAGTCAATGTACAGTCAGTAGGCGTCCATTTAATGACCCTATTTCTAGTTGAATTTGACACCACTGATCTAGGCTTCATTTTCCTAGTGGGGAAACTGAGTCTCAGAGTCTTCTATAAAATCAAAGAGGTGATAGGTGACTGGGCCAAGATTTGAACACAGATCATCTGTCACCAAAATCAACACTCTTTCCCCTGCACTATGGTGCTAATAAGTGTTTTAGCATCATGAAGTAACTCATGAAGAGGCAGTGTCAGGTTTGGCAGCAGAAAAGACCTGGTCTCAAATCCTGCCTCTGATACTAACTAGCCATGTGATCCTGTGCAAGTCACTTAACCTTTATCTGCCTCTGGCAATGCCCTAGTACTTGAACTCAGTTGTGAACTGGTTGGTGGAGGGAGTTCCCACAGAAGGGATTCCCTTTATTGAGGAAATCACAGATCATTTAGGCGTCTTAAAAACTCATGAAATAGGCTACTAAGGCAGGGAGGGGTTAGCTGAAGTGTTGATGTTGTGTGTATGTGTGGTATCTATAGAGATACTGTTACCCTGGAGGGTGCTTGGGAGGGCACCTGTGATCAGCTGTCACTCTGGAAAAGTGGGTGGAGACATGTTAATGTGGCAGACTCCTAACACCAAAGCATTCTACACCTGGAAAGAAGTAAGAGGAGCCAGGAGCAAAGGAGAACTGCTGTGAAAACAAGAGTCCGGCGGCATCCTATGGAGACATGGAAAAGGGAGAGCGTGTATGCCTACAGCGTTCCCTCAGTTCCAAATCCACAATTGGCATGGGCATAGGTCTAGATCGGGAAGGGACCTCAAAACTACCTAGAGGAGCCCTTTCATGTTACATTTGATGAAACTGAGGCCAAAAAGTTCAGTGGTTTGACCAAGGCCATGAAGGTCAAATCAGAGGCAGGATTTGAACCCTGGTCCTCTGACTCCAAAACCAGTGCTCTTTCTATTATGTTGTTGTTCTGTCATGCCCAATTCACAACCCCATTTGGGATTTTCTTGGCAAAGATATTGGAGTTGATGGCCATTTCCTTCTCCAGCTCGTTTGACAGATGAGGAAACTGAGGCGAACAGGGTGAAGTGACTTGCCTAGGGTCACATAGCTAGTAAGAGTCTGAGGCCAGATTGGAACTCAGGAAGATGAGTCTTCCTGACTCCAGGCCGGGCACTCTATCCACTCTACCACCTAGCTGCCCCACTATGCCCTGCTCCCTAACCAGAAGTGCTCAGGATTGAAATGGTGTGAGTCAAACTAGTGAATATTAAATGGATTCATTAATGTGTTCCCAGAGTACAATGTCCTGGGAAGGATCCTTGGGGTCTGTGCTTCTCTATTTTTCTATTTTTCCCCTTTCCCTTAATTGCTGGTAAACAGTTTTGTAAACCCACTTCTGGTTTGGATGTTCTAAGGGGAAGAGGGAGTGAACAGAGTGGAGGTGAGCTTTAGAGCTACCCTCAGAGAGAGGATCCAGAAGAGCCTACAGTATTGAATAATGACCCACACAACACAGTGCAGGAGAAAGAGTGCTGGCTGAGAGTTTGAAGAGCTGGGTTCAAATCTTAGCTCTTCTACTTAATATGGGTGCAAACTTAAATGGCTTAACCTCTCTAGACTTCAGTTCCTCCTCTATAAAATGGGGTGGAGGGGGAAGGGGAAGGTTGGACTAGTGGCTAAGGTACCTTCAGACTCCCGAATCTATGATCTTGTGACTTCCTACACTCTAAGACTGGCTGCTTCAGGTCTCTGATCCTGTGGTTACATCGTAGGAATTCTCCAGTCCTCCACCTCTATTTCTACGATACTGTGGAAAGCCCCGTTTGCTCATTTGTCAAGTAAGAGAGTTGGGCCAGATGAGTCTCTAAGGTCCCTCCCAGCTCTAAATTCTGTAATCCTATAAATCATGGGTAAGTCTCTTATCTGTCTAAACCTGTTTCATCTGAAAAAATAGGATACTCATTCTTGCACTCCCTAAACATTAAGCACAGAGCTTAACTCAACCTATAAAGTGTTATGTAAATGTAGGCTTTTGGTTGTTTTGGTCTCTGCTAAAGTCCTACCTTCGGCAAAAGCCTTTCCCAGTCCTCTTTAATCTTAATGGCTTCCCTCAGAGACCACTCCCAATTGATCTCCTATGGATCTTGTTCGAACATAGTTTTTTGCATGACGTTGTCTTGCTTCTTAGACCATGAGATCCTTTAAAGCAAGACTGATTTTTTTAGGGGGTGCCTTTCTTGTATTTTCAGAGATTAGCACAGTGCCTAGCACTTGTGATTAATAAATGCTAATTGACTGAGTAGTAGAAAACTTCTTTTCTTTAGCCTTATCAGCATTTCAGCCATTTAAAGAATAATAGGGGTTTTGCTCCCATCGGAGAGAGCAGGAGACAAATTCTATAAAGAACCAGCTACTTCTTCAGATCTGGGACAGATTTGTTTATTAGAACAAGAAAACTTTGCAGAAAGTGAGTGGTATGGGCTCAGCTCTCTCCTCTCCCCCTTCACCTTCACCCAACTTCCCACCCGGGGCATTTCTGAATAGGTTGCCGTTTTCCAGGAGGGAAGCACCTGCCTTGTCAGGTCAGGATGGGCTTATAAGGTGGGGGGCCCAGCCCAGTCTAGGCCAGCCCAGGGAGTGTCCCAGCAGCAATAACAGTCTCATATATAATTGTGGAATGGTGTTAGGTAAGTGTTGCTAGCAGGCGCTGGGGCTGCTGCTGCTGCTGAGGCCTCTGCCTGAACAAGCAGAACCTCAGTTTTGATGGGATCGGCACTTTTTTTTTTCCATCATCCTAGGAAGAGAGAAGGGGACTGGTGGAGCCCAGAGAGGAAAAGGCTGATGGGAGAATAGGAGAGGAATTAATTCGTGCCCTGGCTAAGGGAGCAGGGATGGGCCAGTATTGCCTGGGGTTAAGGTGGAAGGAGATCTCCCCTCTATTCCTGTGACATTGAATCCTCTAGAGTCAAAGGGTGCACCTGGGCATGCTTGTGTCTACATATCCCTGTGGGACAGAACATACGTGTTCCATTAGCTCACCCCTTAGGCATCAGGCATACTTCAGGGGGAGTAGCCCAGTCAATCGCAATCAGTAACAAAGCCCCTTGCTCTAATGGGGACTCTTTCTTGGGAATCTCAAAGCATTTATCATTGTGTTGACCCAACAAAGAGGTGAAGAGTAAATGTGGATGTCCCAGTTTGGTAAATTAAGAGACCAAGGCCCCTTGAGGAGCCCTGACTCACCCAAGGACTCCAAAGGTACAGAAGTAATTTGAACCAGGGTATCTAGGGCTCCCTCCCCTATCCCCACCCCATGTCCTTTACCAGGGTGTCCATGGAATCAGAGAGTCAAGGAAGCCAAAAACCACTAGGAATGTGAGTTGGCCTTTGGCCAGCACAGAGCCATTAGAGACTGAGCCTGGGAGCAGGACTCCTACCCCCAAATGACAGGAGCCAAAGCCAACGGGCCAATTATGGATAAAGATCAGAGAGAGCTGACTTGCCTGTGGCTGAAGCTGCTTTGGGCTTTCTCAAGCAAGAAGGAGCCCAGCAGGCTGGGAAAACCAGTGGGGAACAGGAAAGTGGTTATCCAATCAGAAAGCTATAGATCCTTACAAAGATTGTCTCATCTCTAGCCTTTCCCCAGCTTCTGCCAAGGGAAGCCTGTTGAGCTTGGAATCCTGAGGTTCAAACCCCAGCTCAGACACTTACTGGCTTTGTACCAGACCTCCCTCACTGAGCCTCAGTTTCCAGTTATAAGATGATTAGAAGAATACTTGCAACACCTAACTCTCAGTGTTGCGGTAAGAAAAAAGCTTTGTAAATCTCAGCGCACTATGGAAATGTGAATAATTGCCAAGGTTCTCTAGCCAAGGCTAGCTCATAGCCCCCACCAAGTTGTTTCTAGGGACCTTGGGAGCTAGGAGAGGCAAACTGAGGGAAGCAGGAAGGAAATCCTGGGCAACCTCACCAGGTAAGAGAGGAGGTTTCAACAAGCTTTTACTATGCCCTTTTCAACGTACCAGGCACCATGCTAAGGGACACACATATAGGCAGGAAATGGGCAGAGCTTACAATACCCTACAGATTTAAAAATATACAAAATAAATATAAATTAGGTGGGAAGGGTGCAGAAGAGAGCCCTGACTACTAGGGAAATCAAGTAAGGCCTCTTATTGGGAGCGGCCTTTGGGCTGGTCCTTGAAGGGCACTGGGATTTGGAGAGGCAGAGGTGAGGAAGGGAGCATCCTAAATATGGAGGCAGTTTGGGCAAAGGGCTGGAGGCTGGTGGAGTAATGGTACGTACAGGGAACAGGAAGATGTCTGTTTGGCTAAAACATAGT